ATGTGGATTTACTTTTGTTTTGAATTATTTTTACATATGTACATACATTTTACATATTTATATACATTTTTATACATATTTATATTTGTATTTAATAGGATATTTGCCTGTCTGAAAGAAAATATATAAATAATTACCATGTTAATATCGGTGAAGTGAGGTCAGTGTTTGCATTCGGCTATGTCTGAAGAAAGACTGAAAACCCAATAAATACAAAAACAAGTCTCACTTAACCGATGATTTGATTTTGATCGAATTTCTGCCAATGAATCTGAATTATTCGTCAGAGAATAACAAAGAAGAACAAAGTAGTTTTAATTAAAAATATAAGTGTTTGAAGAAAACACAAACCTTTTTTCCAAATAGCAATTGTAGCTATCTATCTATTAATTAAGGGAATAGGACTGATTTGAGTTTCTAAGAAGTATATATGTAGATCTTTAAAAGTAAAATCAGATCCGTAAATTTTTAACATTCTTGAAAACGTTTTATTATTCTAAATGTGTATTTAATGGTTCAAAATTTAATGAATATTTAACTTCGTAAGGCTTTGTCCTTTCCCCTTTGTTTATAACGGCGGGATCGCCATCTTTCAAAGAATTGTATTTTTCAAATAAAAAAAAAATCCAATAACAGTTATTGTGATAGGAAAACATTTATAATTTCCTTGAAACAATTTCTGTTTTTTTGTCTAATAATATTTTTTAAAGGATGTAGATATTTTTAAATATTGTTTGAATAAATAAAAAAACTAGATTTTGTAATTCCTTCACACATCAGCTGATTTTCATACTATTATTGTGCTGAAAGGTTAAAAACTGTTACGTATTATTTAAGAGAGTAAAAAATAATAAGTAATATTTAAATATGCATGTAAAGACGCAATAATCCTTGTTTTATAATATAAAGAGACGTTAGTCAAAGTATTTTAAACCGTGATTTACGCTTGTTTTCATCGGACTATGAGATTTGTAAACGTTCGATCGGTACGAGTTTTGTAAGCGTGTGACGAATTGAGTTGAATATTTTGAGGTCAGTATTAATTTTTTTGTATACAATGTGTGACGAGAGCAACCCCACGACTCTCTATGTTGGAAATTTGGCCCACACGGTTTCTGAAGAATTGCTGTGCACGCTTTTCGCCCAAATCGGACCAGTGAACGGTTGCAAAGTAATACGAGAGCCTGGAAACGATCCTTACGCTTTTGTCGATTTCGCCAGTCACGCCGGTGCGGCGACGGCCCTGGCAGCTATGAATAAAAGAATATTTTTGGACAAAGAAATGAAGGTTAACTGGGCTACATCACCGGGGAACATCCCTAAATTGGACACTAGTAACCACCATCACATTTTCGTCGGGGATTTGAGTTCGGAAATAGATACTCAAATGCTGAAGGACGCTTTCGCACCGTTCGGCGAAATTTCCAACTGCAGGATAGTGAGAGATCCGCAGACTCTGAAATCGAAGGGTTATGCGTTTGTGTCCTTCGTCAAAAAAGCGGACGCGGAAAACGCGATTATGGTCATGAACGGGCAATGGTTAGGGAACCGTTGCATAAGGACGAACTGGTCGACCCGGAAGCCGCCGCCGCCGAGGGATGTCCGCAGCAGGCAGAACAAGCCGTCGACGTTCGACGAAGTTTATAACCAATCCAGCCCGGCGAATCGTACCGTCTATTGCGGCGGGTTCGTCAACGGGATAGATGACGATCTCATCCACAGCATATTCTCCCAGTTCGGCACTATTCACGACATCAAATGCTTCAAGGACAAAGGGTACGCTTTTATCAAATTCGAGACGAAAGAAGCCGCCACATACGCCATTGAAAAAATCCACAATTCCGAGATCAACGGTCAAGTCGTCAAATGTTTTTGGGGCAAAGAAACGCCGGACTCTGGCCTCTCACAAAAACAGGCCAACGGGCCGAGCGTTTATCAAATGGGAACCCAGCAATGGGGGACGGTTTACGGCAATTTGGGCTATTGGTGGCCTCAGGAAGTACAGATGCAGCAGTACATCCAAGGAATGCAGCAAGGCTACTACAACCAGTACGGCTATCAACAGCAGCCCGGCGCGTGGAACGGCATGCTCGAGAGCGGAGCTTCACAAATGATGATCCATCCTCAAGATATTCAACACTCAAATCAAATGCATCCTCCAATGCCTAATTTTCAGTGATATTTTAATAATTTTTCTTTCATTTTCAATTTTGTTTAAAAATGGTAAAACAGATTTTAAATATTCTGTCCAAATAAATTGTGTTGTTTACATTTATATTACTATTGCTTTAGTGCATTACATTATTATTTGTTACCTATTTGTACTTTCTCGTAGATCTAACGAATGGTTAATTCTTTTGAATATACTAAGTAATATAATCGAGGTAAGATATTCTATTACTATCATTTTATTAGGGGGGGGGGGGCAATCTTATACAAATTACATTAAAGAATGTTATGATGAAGTTACGGTTTATAACAACTTTGTACAAGATGGAAGTAACAATGTAAGTGTTCATTAAACGATCTGCTAAATTTTCTTAGGGATAACCTCACGCAAACCTGTTAAGCATGGATCATATATATTTTTTAAATTAATTAATTTTTTTATTTTTTTTACGAGTGTATTTCAACTACGAGGTTATATTCACCCTGTTGTCGTCGTAACAGTAGTAAGAAAAATATATATAACGGTTTAATTTTTCTTGTTTTAGGAATTTAGGATTTAAATAGAAAAACTCTGAAACCATGAGACAAATTGTTATGAAATTTTCAGAGATTGTACGGGTTGGATTCTATTTGCACTTGCACATGCACGTAAAATTCCGTACACAATTTTATCTCCGAAACCAATGATTGGATTTTTATGAAATTTTCAGGGATTACGCGGGTTGCTTTCTCAATGATCTATGCATTTTATACCAATCAGGTAAACATAAGCGCATGCACAAACGTAAAGCCGGGAACACACTTATCCGATGATACGCCATGCGACGCTACCCGATGCTACCCGACGCAAATCCAAACTCCGATTTTCCATATAAGGTTGTATTACCCCCGTGCACATCTACCCGATGCTATGCCACGCTAACCTACCCGACGCTCTGCGATCCCCACTGTCCAGATTTTGGTCGCATCGAGTACAGTCGAAGACAAAAGAACCGGACACTCATATTTTTATTCAAACTACGTGTATTATTGTCGTTACATTAATTACAACATACTTATTTTAATATAAACCAAATTAACTGTGATTAAAAATTAATTAGTTTTTATTTAAAGAATTAATTTTAATGATTTGGTAGAAAATTAATCAAAACACCGGAATACGATTTTTTGATATAATGAATTTAACTAACAATTTATTTTAAGTTTAATTGGAACAATTTATTACACGGTTTTGCTCATAAAATTTAATTAACAATTTATTTCATAGTTTTGCTCGTAAAATTACACCATTTTCGTCGGGTAGGATCAGAACAGGACACTCATATCTTTTGTAGTTTATTTCAAACTAAGTACATGTAATTTTGTCGTTATATTAATTACAACGTGTTATTTTAACGTAAACCAAATTAAACGAGATCAAAAATTCATGTTTTTATAAACTTGTTTAATTATGATGGTTAGGAGTAACTTTATTTAAAACAATTAAGTTTAACAAACAATTTATTAGATGGTTGTGCTCATAAAATTTAACTAACAATTTATTACAAGGTTTTGTTCAAAATAGTGCATTAAGAACAAAAGATGCGTTGCGATTGTGATAGTGATTATTGTGATAAACGCTGTGGACTGTACGCGACGTGTGCTTGCGTCGGATAGATGTGCACACCCCACCAAAACGTGGCAAGGCGTCGGGTAGCATCGGGTAGCATCGCATGGCGTAGCATCGTGTAAGCGTGTTCCCGGCTTAAGTCCTGAAAATTTCATAAGAATCCGACCAATGGTTTTGGAGACAAAGTCGTGTACGCGACTTACGTTTGTGCATGCGTTTATGTTTATCTGATTGGTATAAAATGCATAGATCATCGAGAAAGCAACCCGCATAACCCCTGAAAATTTCATAAGAACCCGACCAATGATTTCGGAGACAAAGCCGCGTACGGGACTTACGACGATCTCCTACGAATTTTATACCAATCGGTAAACATGCGTGTGCGCATGCTCAAAATATGGGAAAGCTATGCTGTCCACCCACTTGGCAGACTTTTTCTATTCCATTCCAGCTCCCATAAATTAGTAATCATTATCCTGTTACACCTTACCTGATAATTCGCTACGACTCTTAAGAAAAAATTGCAAACGAGCAGGCACAACGTAAAGTGTTGTTGCCGGTCAACTAATGCACGGTTGATTTATTACTTTGTTGAGATTTAATTTTTGTTAAAAAAATCGAATTTATTTTAAAAACATCACAGAAAAATATTATTTCCAAGACAATTGAAGACAGGGCATTCGCTCTTCTAGTGGCGTTCTAATATAAACACGTGATTTAGATGTAGACATCTGCTTGTTGACACTGGATCATCAAAACGAACATTTTCAAAAAAACCGAGATCATACGACCTCCGTTTAACAAGTGTGGCACTTAATCGATTTGTCGGTTTTTACAATTCAAACGAATTTCACTTTATTGAACATAAATTATGCTGTTCTTGGTTGACTCCAGTATTATTTTGTACATATATACATCAAAATGGAAATAAATTATCTTAATAGCAAATTAACAAGTGTAAGACATTATTTTTATTATATCTAATTTTCTTAATCGCTCGCACTAAACACTAACAACGATTTATAAAAATGTAATGTTCCACTGATAATATATAATACTCATAAAGTAAGATATTTGATCAAACAATAGTTTCTGTATTACAAGGGAAGACGTTTTAAAGGTAAAACATAGATTTAAAAACCATTGAAACATTTGTATTTTAATTGTTTTACAGTCATTTTAAATCTTTCGCAATAATAAATACATTTTATTAATACGGGTACATTAAATGACGGATAACAAAAAAATATATTTATCTGTTTCTAAACAATAGGATTCTGAAAGTCTCCGAAACACATATTCTAACATTATTTTTCATAGGTAAAATATTTTTCTTAAGCTCAATATATTTTGGTATTTACAATTTTATAAAAAAAGTCAATAGCTATGCCACATTGCCCTTTCGGACCACTATTTGTTAACTCCTCAACCTCGGACCACTTGTTAGATTACTGTTTCTGGTTTTTAATTTTGAACATGAAAAATATTTGAAGGTACAAAAAACAACACACAACGTTACATTTAATCTCGGCATCTCCAAAGATCACCGAGCAGACACATTCAGATTTTCTAGATAACACCAGGTGCTGGGGTATCGACAGTTTTTACAGCCATTTTAAAGTAACACTCATTCAGTCATATCTGAAATCAAAAAACAACTTTGTCATCAAATTGAAAACATTATTTTGAGAAAGGGTGAGAGGGTGAAGGGAAAAAGAAAGAAAAACTTTATTACGTCCTAGGAACAAACAGGTTCCTTCAAGGACAACAAAACAAAAAATACAAATATATAAACTATCTGAGCGATAGAACATTAATTCAAAATGGAATGGTAGAACAATGTAATGCTAAGAATACAGTAATATATATAGTAATAATAATATATATAACACACACATACACATACGTACAGGGGGAGGGGGGAGAGAGGGAGAGGGAGAGGGAGAGTGAGTGAGTGAGTGAGTGAGTGAGAGAGAGAGAGAGAGAACAAAGCAAATACAAATTGTACTTTTCACTGTGTCGGATGGAGAAATCGCCTAAGCGCAGCTCAAAGCGAGGATTGCACTGCGGACCGTAGGGCGTAGACTTTGTAGCACAATAACTTTGAAACCCTCAGGGCTTTGTAATTAAGGTAGTATTGGTGTTTGTACCTTGTCAATAACAGGCTTGTGAAATTTAACAAGTTTGAGTCAATCTTAGTTATTTATACGGCAATAATTCACGTAGTTTTGTAGCTTGTGTTTAGCTTTTGAAATTTGATAAAAATAAAATAATTTAACAATTGTTTTTGAAGTGTTGGTTGATTTTTATGAAAGTTAATTTTTGACCTGCGGTAGTGGGGGCTAAGTTCAGCTAATAGAAATCAGTTGAAAATCGTTTAAAGCTTAATTTTTTAGTGATTTGTCTAAAATACTTCTTTCAGTCAAATTAATTGTTAAATGTGTGGTGTTTAGTGTCCGTTAGTCAGTGATTATTCGGAGATTGTGAGATGCGGTCTGGTGTGACGTAGGTTTTAGAAAAACATTTTCTTTATCGTGCCAACGTTTCGATCTGTATTGAGATCATCTTCAGGGCTTGAGGTTTATAAACATTGTTTGAATTTTGCAAATTCATGTATGATGTGAAAAAATATTAAGAATTTATACAATGCTAGAAAATTTTGAATTAAAAAAAGGAATGAATTTGCTACGTCACACCAGACCGCATCTCACGATCTCCGGATAATTAATTGTTAAAATTGTACTACAACCTATGTATGTTATGCATTCACTCAAAGTCCGTTGTATGTAAAAGGTATGAAATAATCATACATCATATTACTGTTTGCGTTGGGAGGTGGATAAGACTCCGTTTCAACTCGAAATGCTGTTATGACTGGAAACTTTTCCGGTCAAACCTTAAAAGACGTTACAACTACCATTCATGGTAGATTTATCAAACAAAGCCAGAAATCTCAGCCATTTTACCGACGTCCTTCCTGTTTGAACATGTTCCAAGTTTTGTTTAACGAAGCCGGCATGCGAAGCCCCCACGTTCATGTACTTATAGACGGTAGCAGAGTGAAGTTCTGAAGTTTGTTATCCCTTCTTGTCGCCCCCACCCACTTGTTGCGTATTAGTTCCTGATATCACAATTAATTACTTTATGACTTTTACGAAGTTATGATGCAAATGCTACCTAATAAACAATATTTATTTAATAACTTTAAAGGTTCGTTGTAAATCTTCATTGTTTATATAAATAGGCAATTTCACCATCAGCTATTGTACTTACTGCTCAAATAAACTCAAAAAACAATTAATCAAGTTTAAACAAAAGCAAATATATTGGGTTGTCCGGAAAATAATGCAGGATTTTAAGTTTTCATTAAAAAAAATCTATATAAAATATTCTGTTTACGTTTACAGGATTACTGAATGTCAACACTTATTAATCCTCTTCCAAATGATATTGTTTGTTTACCTCTGTAGCATTCCGCTACTTGGAAATAATTCAGTCATCCTTATAATGTCAAAGCGAGAATTTCGTACGATTTTCTTTTACGAGTTTAAACTCGGCCGAAGCGGAGCCCAAACGGCTAGAAACATTAACCAAGTCTGGGGCGAGGGTTGTGTTAATGAGTGCACTGTGCAAAGGTGGTTTAAAAAATTTCGGGAGGGAGATTTCAGCCTTGAAGATGAAGAAGGTCGTGGAAGGCCTTCCTCTCTTAATGATGATGTTCTGCGATCAGTGGTGGAAGAAAACCCCAAAACAACTGTTCGAGAACTTGCAGAGCAACTCAAAGTCAGTAAAACGACCGTCGCTGACCACCTCAAGGCGATTGGAAAAGTGAAAAAACTCGAAAATTGGGTTCCACACTCATTAAACGATCGCCAAAAAATCAGCGCTTTGATGTTTGTGCATCACTTCTTTGTCGAAACAAAAATGACCCATTTCTGGCCAGAATTGTTACATGTGACGAAAAGTGGATTCTCTACGATAACACTAGACGTTCTGGACAGTGGCTCGACAAAGGAGAAGCTCCAAAGCCCCCAACTCATCAAAAAAAGGTAATGGTTACGGTATGGTGGGCTTCATTTGGTTTAATACACTACAGCTTCTTAAATCCTGGCGAAACCATCAATGCTGAATCATACTGTAACCAAATTAATACCATGCATCAGAAATTGGCAGTAATGAAGCCCTCTTTGGTCAATCGGAAAGGGCCCATTTTGTTGCATGACAACGCTCGACCACATGTGTCACGTGTAACGTCACAAAAATTATTGGAGCTTGGCTATGAAACTTTGCCTCACCCACCCTACTCACCGGACCTCTCGCCTACTGACTACCATTTTTTTAGACACCTGGACCACTACTTACAACACATAATATTCAAAAATCAAACGGAACTGGAAAATGCATTTATTGACTTTATCAATTCTAAAAATTCTGAATTCTACTCAGACGGAATTAATAAGTTACCAACACGTTGGGAGAAATGTATTGAGAGTATGGGAAATTATTTTGATTAAAGAACATTGCTTTAAAGTAACTAGTTTCTTTTTTTTTGTTTAATACCAAAATCCTGCATTATTTTCCGGACAACCCAATAGAAGTTTTTGAATGAAAATAATCTATTGTGAGACGTTTGCTAATGAAAGAAGTGATTTTGGTCAAAATTCTTCTTGTCAACCCTTCGTCACTACTTATATTGGATTGTTATCGAACTAAAATATAAAAAAAACTCTTTAAGGCCGAATTTAGTATTTTATTTTACCATTAGCTGTCAAATGCCAGCCACGGCACAAATTCAAACAGCACAAACACAAATAAATTTAACTATTAGTTCTACGTACTGAGGAGATTCAAAATCAAATACTTATAGCACATGGGCATATTCACCGATATATTTCTAGCCGGAGATTATAAAAATACAGCAATGTAGAGAAACACCCGTGGGAGCTCTGGAATCGAAAAGCTCGATGGTTTTAATTGCAGGTCCAAACTAAATAAGTTCAAGAATATACAGACATTGTGAAAATAAAGAAGTGGATGCCGTTGCACGTTGACCATATCTTTCTGCGCTATAGGAATTCAGAATAATGTGAGAGTGAAGACAATAAGAATTCTCAATCTCTCAGTGAAAAAATATAATCGAGATTTGAAAGAAAATAAGTTACAGATTGCCACAGGGGAAGCAAGAAGAGATTCAAAATTCTGCTTCACAGATGCTACAATAAGCCCAATATATTTGCTGCCAGACACTATGATCTACTTCTCGACAGTAGAAAATATTCTACGACTTATAACACATCCGTGTAAGAAATACAACGTTTCAGTCTGGTCAAGATCTACAAGTATCTATTCTGTACTGAAAGGATACAATAGCTCATGACAGGCTTATTTTGTTCTCATGATGGCGAGAAAAAAATTGACGTGCTTGTTCCACGGTAGGATTTTGATGTATCGCAGCAAACTAACTGAAATGGAGTTGAATAAAGTCAGATTCGCAGTCTTATTTTCAAAGGAATGCAATATTAGCAAAGGTATAACAGTAAATTTATTGTTCACGCTGAACCAGCATTGGGTTGAGAGGGTTGATGAAGCTCCTCACTGAAGATGGCGCAATGCCGAAACCCGCGAGTTAAGACGGACTCAATAAATGACCCAATCTGGTTCAGTATGAGCTCACCTACTCACAGACCAACACCAGCATCACTTCTAAATTTATTAAATTTATTTTTAACTAACAGTATTGGGCAGTTTTGGAGTTCTTCTGAATTAACAGGCCAGACGATGCGGAAAAACAGTTGTGCTCAAGTAATTTGCCAAATAAAAATGTCGAAACGTTTCATTTTTTAAATTAGCTTCAGAATCAGGTATGTAATCATAAAATCTAAATACAACCTTCTTAAGAGATGGACGAATAAGAAGAAATATATTTTTGTTGTTTTATGTTCTATCTCAAAAAATAAATATAATTCAGGACAGATATTTTTATTTTGTGATGATACATAATTCCATTTTTCAAATCATGAACAATTCTGTTGAAATATCTTTTATTATATTTTGTTATCTTCTTGCTGAGATGTATAGTTCCTCAGGTCACAGCCATTATTAAGCGGTAGGCCTATTCGTTGTGCCGCGATAGTAAATAATTAATTAAATATCTCACAACATCAATGCCTGATTAAAGAGTTATTTAGGTGTTAGTACTATTAATTTCTTAATTAATTAAAGTAGCGAGGTATATCTATGAAAGGCTTTGGTGAATATTAACATTTTGTGTTGGCAACGTACGTATACAGATACAGAGACCACGTAACCCAAACAGTGACAATCCTTTGAGATCACCCGATGTAAATTAATTTACTGTTCTGCACGATTTATATGGAAGACAAACTTGATTTCCCGAGTTCACTCAGAAATAACAACCCTTTGTGTATTATAATCATTGCGTATATGTATTCTCTAATTACTCTTTATTACCTTTATTAATAACATACAAAGAATGTGACATACAGGGAAGTGAAATATTAAATCAATTACCACCCAATTATATAAGCAGTAAAGTGCAAGTGGGCGTAAAAAGTTTAAAAAACTAAAACTCATATACACCAACATAAACACAACAAACACACGATTGCCTATTATTTAATTTTTGTTAACTCAAGTCACAAATCACTGCGGACCTTATCCAATAGTTTGATATGGCAACATTACCGAAGTTAAATTTTTTTAGAGTTTTGTAAAATTGAGGCTCATTTCCTGCAATACCCAACCATATATGACCCAGTAGAACTGGACAAAAAATGTCAAACGAACAGAAATATGTTAGGAAATCATGAAATGGCTGCACTATTGCAAACACACACACCCATACATTAAAAAACATGCACGCGCAGGAAAATCCATATGTTTTTGTTAAATAGCCCTTCTTTAGCCCAATTTTTTTTTTTTAGGTGACGGTGGGAATCGAACCCACGACCGCGGCGTGAGAGTCTCTCATGCTAACCACTCGGCTACCACTATGTTAGGCTGGCTTTATCCTGGCCCAAGCCTAGTGGCCTTGCCTGAACGCATAAAATGGGGTGGCGCCCAACTCACCAATATTTCTTTGGTCTTTAATATTTCTTTTATTTTTTGTTTTTTGAATTTTGTAAACTATCCCTCCAGTCTTACAAACAAAACGAGCTACCGGGATAAACTTTGCTCTGACCCGGAATAATTTTGGGTGTAACACTTTGGCGGAGCAAAAAATGGCAGTATCATCCACATAGGAAGTGAGGATCGTTTCAGGAAGGGCAGGAATATCTGCAGTGTAAACTGTGTAGAGGATGGGTCTTAAGATTCTTCCTTGTGGTAGCTCTACATCTAAAAGATAGCCGGCTGATGCAGAAGGTCCAATGATTAATGAAATTATCTATCGGTTAGGTAGAATTTTAGAATCAGGTGGTAGGTGAAAGGAAGGGCTCTATTAAGTTTCCAGAGCAGCTCCGATCGAGGGCTTTCTTCACATTTAGAACTAGACCGGAGTAGAACTCAATTTGCTCAAGAGCGCTAGCGATGATGTCCTACTGAACCCAAACTGGTGGTCACGGATAAGGTTACAGGCATGAAAGATGAGGAAAATGTATGTAAGTAGGGTTTTTTTTCTTAAGATATGGCCCATTACTAAGACAATAGGATGATGAAAGGTTATGAGGGTTTGTAGGCTTTGGAATCAATATATCATAATTACCAAATAACTAAAATAAACATGCAGGTGTTGACCAAAACTTGAATGAGAATTAAGCACACCTAGAAGTGTATTAGAATGTACTTGTAGAAGTATTATGTATAATATGATAGTTAAGTGAGGATATAGGAATATTAAAAAAGTCACGCATACACATGAGCAAAATTCTGTCTAAAGTGCATTGGGAGTTTATTCATTGAGCTTGTCATTGAAGATAAAAAATGTTAAAAAAGAAAATTATTTAACATGTATTTAGCAGTTGGTAGCAAAATGTTGGTACGTACATCGACTTAACTAGGCGACAACTGCAATGAGTACGATGAGCAGCCAGTCAAATCCTTTGCGGTTTCCACAATCTTTGGCTTTCACTCCCAAATCTCGCATTTCGGCTTCTGAAAAAGATAAGAAACGTGAGTTGGAAGGAAGGAAACACAAAATTAAATTAATAACCTGGTAAAATGGCTGGTTCCGGGCTGGGTTCTCTCGAAATTCCATCTTGAGAGAGCGTGAAACAAATGCAATTTTAAAAACAAATTTTTCTCACGAGGGTTTTGCTTTTTAATTTTTTCCTAAAATAAATAAAAAAATTATTATCTATATAAACGGTCTCTAGATCTATAAAAATCTTTTATTTTCTGAAGTTCTTATTAAACGATCGGTTTTATATAGCTCTTCGGGTTTAAATGTCAAACTCATAGGATTATGCTTGGTTTACGAGGTCGAATTTTTATACATATAAGAATGAAAGAAATATAAAAAATCCTTACGGTTAAAAAAATTCATCTGAAACGCAAACCTATATTTTGCATTCATTCGTTGTAAAATAATATATTTCTTTTGAAATTGGTTAAGAGCAATGTTGGGACGAAAGATATCTTTAAAGGCTTAAATAACTACTAAGGATGATAGCTAACAAAAATAAAATATCTTTGTAATTTAAAGGTTCTTGGTGTGTTTATATACATATATGTATTTATAATTTGAATTATTTATTTGTATATTTATTATTTATGAATTTGTACTGTATAAGAAATATGTATGCAGTGTCGTTGTTTACATGATTTGTTGTTTATCATTGTAAAAAATGCTGCGTTTATTATGAAGTAAATGATACATTTTGTTTTGTAAAATGGCTAACTAACAATAAACCTAAAAATAAATAAAATAAAAATAAATATTTGTAACGCTTAAATTGTTGATAACTTGAAATCTGTGATGTTTTGTTTAAAATAATCCCTAAATGGTTGCATGCATTAATTGTTCATTCCTAAAACAAAGGAGATTACTACCCCTCCAAAATTATTTAAAATGTAACTTAAACTTATTTAAACACAAAATGTTTGGTTTATTTTTTAGTTTGTTTTTCAACAAGCAATCCGTTTTAGTTGCAGTTATCTTATGAAGAAGCCAGCCTACCTATGTCTCTTGTAGTAAATCTGAAGGGGTCTGACATCTGGTTCCATCCGAATATATTCCTTGCTTGCACTTTTGCTTCGTACTGCGTGGACGGCTCGAGCGACCGTATCAAATAATATTTGTCGTGTGTCAAATTGCGATCTGTTTTGTCGCCTTGAAGCACAACGTCTGTCCACTCTTTCAAGACGGAATGACCAGTCTGGAAAATTGAGCAATGACAATTAATGAACACAAGCTTCGTTATTAGACTAACATTCGAATTAATTTAGTAAATTTGATCGATACGACTCTGGTACAAAAATAACTTGATGGTCGGGAATTTCAAATGGAAGTTCTTGACATTGATATATTTTTAAACAGCTCTTTATCAATACAAAAGGATTTGTTTAGGATCGTTAGATTAGGATTAGGACTTCTTGTGAATTGATAAATAGATTTTTATTGATTGTCGATACAATATACAATAAGAGTCAGAAAGTTATACTTATATGCTTGGTCTATGACTATCAGCGGAGTTGTTGCTTACGACTTTACGTCTTGAGGATTGAAAAGTTATTCATCATTGCAGATTCACGAGGACAGCCTTGCAATGAAGGGCTTTAGAATGATACAGTTACAATTTATAAAATTTAATTTACAAGCAATTCTTTATAGAACATGGAATATGTAATTGTATACAGAAAATTTCCATAGGCTTTAGATCCGCGTGGATCCAAAGTATTGAATTTAATGTTTTTCTTTTGGAAATTTTTAAATTTTTAACCATTACTAGTGGGGACCGCGGTAGCCGAGTGGTTAGCATGAGAGACTCTCACGCCGCGGTCGTGGGTTCGATTCCCACCGTTGCCCCTGGCCCTTTTTTCCCAATAACCCCCCAAATTTGAACACACATATACGAATTTGTCACATGGCTAATATGCATAGTTCATAACGCCAAAAAAAAAAAAAAAAAAAAAAAAAAAAAAATTTTAGTCTGTTTTTGCGATTCTAAGTCTTTTATGATTTTTTAAAACTTTTTTAAGTATTTACTACTCGAAGTACTTAAGTATTTGGCTATCAATTGGTAGTGGCGAATACGAATTTAGTAGGGCAAAAGTGAGTTTGTATTAGCTTTTTTATCATCCATCTTGATAAAACCAAGGTTCATCTAATATTAATCATTAAACTATCAGTGAAAATCTTTGTCGAACATAATAATTTCCATTGAAATGAGTTGGGTTATAAAATTAGCTCAACTTTTATTCATTAATCCGCATAGGAACAGATCCCCTTTCAACAAATAATTTTTTTCAAACGTTCTTTACAAGGTGTAGGGAGAAAAACTTATTTTTTGTATCAAGCCCTATAAATCAGGTTTTATTGCCGACGTTTGTTGAAATTTGGCTTATACCATCTCTCTTTCATTTTTATTCACTAGTGAAACTGCGAGCGAGAGGAGAGGTTTTAATTTTTTTGTATGTATAATGCAACCGGGTAATTAAGTCCAGGCTCGGAGATGGAAGAAGCCCTATCAGCACGGGCAGTGTCGTGGCGATGTTGGGAGTACGGAGATGTTAGTTGTGTCGGCCGGAAAACGTGGATAGAGGAAGTAATTTACCGATTGGTCTAAACCTTTTGCAACATACATAGTAAATCACAGCTTCCATTGAGAGTGTAGCCCAAAATAAAGAGGCTATCAAAGTTTTTCACCTTCCGTAGTGATGTACCGGTCCCCGTATCAAGAGTGCTCACTTTCGTTAAAATTAGTAGGCCTAGTTCATATGCACATAGGGTTTAACTTAAGTGAGGATAAGTACCTTTGTTTTATTTGTTTATTGTAAATAGATGTAAATAGTTAAACCATCACACTTCTTTATTTTATGGTTTGCCATTTTCATAAATTGTTCATAGTCCATAATTAATTGTTATTAGCGAACCCTCCTGTCTCACATGGAGCTATCTTCTCGCTGCCAACACTTTGTATCCCCGATGATAGTCATAGTCTAAGTTAACACGTACCTCTAAAAACTACTCTAAAACCATCTCTTTTAAGAATTTAAGAATAGTTCACCAATAAAGCTAAGATAGTTCACCGATAAGCTTCTTTTAAAGTTAATCTTTTTATACGTTTTACTAGCGACCTATCAATAAATATTTCTTGATATCCATTGTTTTTAGCTAAGGTTTTAATTGTTTGTGATTCTTTTTTATAATCTAATTATAATTTATTTATAATCAGCAGGTGATAATGGGAGTTTCAACATACGGTCTATGAGCCAAATGAATCCAGCTGCTTTTTGGTTCATGGGTGATAATTGATTCAAAGATATGAAAAAAGGGCCCATGTTTTGTTTTCTGGTGCATAATAACATTTTTTTTCTCGTAAATAGTTTAACGTCACTGATAAAGCAAAATATATGTATTTGTATAAAGTTGTTTATTAACAAAGAGGGAAATTTTTGGGCCGATAAACAGTTGAGGCCATCGCCGGTTCTCTGCGAGTTTTTCTTCTTTTTCTCTTCTTTCGCGCGTATTTTTTTTTAAACTGCGGCTATTTGGGCGTCTCGATCTGGCTAATGACTCTGCTTTTGTGTGTGTACGCTGATATCCTAAAATGCTAGCCTCTCGTTTGTACTTCATTTTGCCAAATATAGAAAAGAAACAAAACATATAATATTTAGATCATCACTAACATGTGGAGATGTCTGCTCACATTCACTCCACTCTCGCTAATAACTTACTTTTACCCTCCAGACGTCACATACTCTCTCCAGAGTATTCGATATCCCTCGGGACAGGCTTAACAACCCGGTTTTGTATTGATATTTGAGTTCTTAAGATTGAAAGAAGCTACTTCAAGAAAATACCTTATATAAAATCATACTCTATTTATATTATATATATTTAATAAATATGTAGTTAGTTGATTTTTTGCCTTCTTTATATTTTTATATTCAAACACACTGTGATGAATCCAATTAGAAATTCCCTTCGTCGAGCTTTGGAGGAATATATCCCCTTCATCAGGACTAGTAAATCAATATAAAAAATTTATACAAAATTGTTTTGTTGTAAATTCACTTTTTCCACATCCTACATGTATTTGTTAAATTTAAACAATGTTTGTAAATCCCAGATCCTGAAGATGATCTCAATAAAGATCGAAACGTTGTTACGATAAAGATAATGTTCTTCTGAAACCTATGCCACCAGACCGCATCTCACGATTTCCGAATAATAATAATAATAATAATAATATGGACAAGTTATTTTACAATATTATTATTTAAAAAAATCTGCGATTTACTTGAATTAAAATTAAGTACATTATTGTATTAGAGAAAACAGTTGCACCAAGACATGGATTGATATAACTTTTCTCGTTTATTCCAAATACATTTTAAATTGAAATGTCCCCTCCCTTGAGCTAATAGGAAAGGGCCAGGTTGTTCGTTCTATAATCCATAAATAAATTTAGTGGGATCAAGCGGAACGCTATTTAATGTTCAGGTATTTGCCCCTCAGATTTGCGTGCGTGAAATATATTACTAATTAAATAGTCACGGCATTTAGTTCGACCTTTTCCGACAGGTGGGCCCAAGGGGTTGGGCGATGGTATTAGCACGACACATTAACTTGAATGTCAGCAATACGAGGAATGTCAGGCCGTGTCGCGACATCGGCAATCAAGCCCAACAAAGTTTCGAATACACGTTGAAAAATAACGTGCTTTAGAATTACGATCAGACAGATCTTCAAGTATCAAATAATGTTTCTTTTTCGTTAAACTCGGTTTTTACTGTGCATTTGGTAGCTTTCTATAAAATTTAATGTTTAGTTGCAATAATTGCTAATATATTATTATTTATTTTGGGTAGAAGAAATGACAACAGTTTTTAAACTCTCGATTTAATCATCATTCAATTATCCTGTTATTATATATGTAAGCCTGCCTCAAGTTTTGAAATATTTTGTAACGATAAACAAAACTATTATTAAACATTATTGTATTATAATAAATATAATAAAAATAGTTGCTTGTCGATTTAAAAAAATAACCTTATCACCTAACGTACGTATATACTAATAATTTTGACATAATTAAAGCTTTCAGCAATTCAAATTGTTCAAGAATATGCGCGCGGAAAAGCGGAAAAAAGCGAAGAACGAAGAAGTGATAGAAATGACGAAGGGTGAGTAAGATTCACTTGTTATAAAAGATGGTTCTACTCATAGATTTTTGTTGGTTCAAATCTGTTAGTAGAACAGTCTTTTACAAAAGTTGAAAAAAAAAAAAAAAAAAAAAAAAAAAAACACGATGTTTGGGCTGGTGGTGGCCGCAGAGGGCCTGAATTCGAACCCGAAAAAAAAAACTCCGGCACTCCAAGGGTGATGTGACCTCTACTGCTGCAAACCTCCATAAAAAAGAAAGTTACAATATGTTTAATTACAATTTTATATGTAGTACGAAATTATACAAATTAAAATTGTATATGGGTTGTTGAGAGAAGGAATTGTTTCTACAAACTTCAGAGTGAGATGAAATTATATGAAAAAAAGGTCAGTGTCGGCTGGAGGGAATCATATGAATGGCCTTGAGGTCTTGATTTTCCATCAGAGCGCAAAATTCAGCCTATGTAACATTTTTCTCAAAACTTTCAACATTTCTTGAGAGTTGATTTTGACATATTTATATTGACAAAACATAAACTTAAAACCCTCTTCCTGCTCTGAAGAAGCAAAAATACTCTCATTGCAAAATAAACGCCTCATTTACACATCGTTACTATTGGGTTGTCCGGAAAATAATGCAGGATTTTGGTATTAAACAAAAAAAAAGAAACTAGTTACTTTAAAGCAATGTTCTTTAATCAAAATAATTTCCCATACTCTCAATACATTTCTCCCAACGTGTTGGTAACTTATTAATTCCGTCTGAGTAGAATTCAGAATTTTTAGAATTGATAAAGTCAATAAATGCATTTTCCAGTTCCGTTTGATTTTTGAATATTATGTGTTGTAAGTAGTGGTCCAGGTGTCTAAAAAAATGGTAGTCAGTAGGCGAGAGGTCCGGAGAGTAGGGTGGGTGAGGCAAAGTTTCATAGCCAAGCTCCAATAATTTTTGTGACGTTACACGTGACACATGTGGTCGAGCGTTGTCATGCAACAAAATGGGCCCTTTCCGATTGACCAAAGAGGGCTTCATTACTGCCAATTTCTGATGCATGGTATTAATTTGGTTACAGTATGATTCAGCATTGATGGTTTCGCCAGGATTTAAGAAGCTGTAGTGTATTAAACCAAATGAAGCCCACCATACCGTAACCATTACCTTTTTTTGATGAGTTGGGGGCTTTGGAAAATGTATTGGAGCTTCTCCTTTGTCGAGCCACTGTCCAGAACGTCTAGTGTTATCGTAGAGAATCCACTTTTCGTCACATGTAACAATTCTGGCCAGAAATGGGTCATTTTTGTTTCGACAAAGAAGTGATGCACAAACATCAAAGCGCTGATTTTTTTGGCGATCGTTTAATGAGTGTGGAACCCAATTTTCGAGTTTTTTCACTTTTCCAATCGCCTTGAGGTGGTCAGCGACGGTCGTTTTACTGACTTTGAGTTGCTCTGCAAGTTCTCGAACAGTTGTTTTGGGGTTTTCTTCCACCACTGATCGCAGAACATCATCATTAAGAGAGGAAGGCCTTCCACGACCTTCTTCATCTTCAAGGCTGAAATCTCCCTCCCGAAATTTTTTAAACCACCTTTGCACAGTGCACTCATTAACACAACCCTCGCCCCAGACTTGGTTAATGTTTCTAGCCGTTTGGGCTCCGCTTCGGCCGAGTTTAAACTCGTAAAAGAAAATCGTACGAAATTCTCGCTTTGACATTATAAGGATGACTGAATTATTTCCAAGTAGCGGAATGCTACAGAGGTAAACAAACAATATCATTTGGAAGAGGATTAATAAGTGTTGACATTCATACAAATGAGTAATCCTGTAAACGTAAACAGAATATTTTATATAGAAAATCCTGCATTATTTTCCGGACAACCCAATACAACCAATCTGGACGTATGGAATTGGACTCTTGGGTTCAACCAAGCGTTCGAACCTCCAAAGAATCACTGAGGTCCTCCAGACCTTCAAATCCCACTTGTTCTCGAAACCGCAAGAACTAGATACAGTCGCCTCCATAAAATCCTGGATCGTCATTCGAACCCTCAAGTCCATCACCTTTTATCTCAAACCCTTTCTAAACGTCTAAAACGCCAATGGCCTCGCGATTTTTTCTTAGTGAGAAAAGTGAATATTGTTGTTTTAGGAATGTAATTAATGAATTACTTTTGTTTTCTTAATAACTTACAATATTTAAAAAAAAAGATTTTATTTTTAACCTATACATATGTAATTACAATTTTTTTCAAACGGTCACAGCACTAACACTAATGCCAGCCATGTCATGAGAAACCAGCCAATACTGGCACTCAGTGTGAAGGGTTAAGAAGCAAGGTGGTCTCGATGCCCTCGATTAAGACGATTCTTGGGTTCTTGGGTCGGAGCTGTGTAGAAAGGTCTCGAGCAGGAGGGCTAAGATAGAGAGAGAAGGTGGTGTGAAACTTTTGGAACAGGGAACGGATCAGTTCGATAACAAAAGGAATGTTGAGGTCGTCGATAGTGAGGTTAGTGACGTAGTAAGGAGCTTTGTCGACTCTGAGGACTTTCTATTAGAAGGTTGGATGGGCCAGGTGTTGAATGGTTTGGCAGGACCCCACAATTCCATTCCATATGTCCAAACTGGTCGCGGTAAAGACTTGTATAACGTCAGTTTAGCGTTGACGGTCAAGACGGTCCTAGAAATCCTCGTAGTTGTCTTCCGTTGAATTGTCTCTTAAGTCTTGTGTAGGGATTCAACGACAGTTGCTACATAGGTCGTAAGTATTTGAATTGAATATAAGTCTAATGAATCTTATAATATAAAATTCATTAAGACAACAGAGTTTCTTGTAGCGCTCTAGCGCGTAATATAACAATGCAACAAAAATATATTACATATGTTCATAAATATTGCAATATGCAAAATTAAAAAAAACCCTCATTATTATATTTGACAAAAGATGCTGAAATATATCAATTGTGTTTATAAAAAAAAGACACCTTTTGAAATAGAGCTAAAAAGGAACATGATGAAAATTAAACATGTATATTTTTAATTACATTTTATTTAACGCTTTATATTTTACTGAATTGACTTAAATATGAAAAAAGAAAACAACCTGGAAAAAATATTCATGGGAAACGATTGTATTTGAATTCTTTCTTTTCAGACAAGCTACATATATTTTTCGAAACACAAAGTGCTTTTAAGGCGTGGTTCTAATATCGGAGCGAACATTGATTTATAGAAAACACCTTTATCCGTAGGATACCATTTATTTGCCGCTTTACATTGTGTTATTTATTTCGTACACCTGCTAAGAATCGTTGAACAATTTATACATTTACGTATTATCCAACGTTTATTGACCCCAGGTTTCCAGCTACATTTTCCCTTTTAATTAACTTGTGGAATAATTTTGCATATTCTGTTTTCTACCGTGATATTTGATACGTCGCGCAAGGTTTTTAGAATATTATATTGGACAAAATTGGAAAAATTATTTTTTTTTTAAATTTTCGTTTATTACACTTTACAATAAATTACCGCCAGGCGTCGAGAATCACCCACTTCGGGTGTTGGCCGTCCGGGGTCAAGCCTCGGTCTTATCTGCCCAGCCAGAGGTTGGGCTACGGCTGCTAGGTCAATTCAGCACCCAAGGTATGTAGTTCCTAGATGCAAACCAATTCACACTCTCTCTCATTATTAAATACATTTTTTCCTATTTACAAACCATTCATTCAGTTAGGGTGATGGAGTACTCGATATTCCTCCATCACCTTTTACATCTATTATATAACTGACCTAATTGAGAGTCGATAGAGTAAACAATACTCCGCCATCAGCCCTCTTACATCATCCATTCACGCCAATAAATACATTCAATCTCAACGCCTTTGTTAGGTACCAAGCTTTCAGTACTATATATAATAAAACAACCCTGTTTACTCCAAAAATCGGAACTGGGATCCAAAGATCCGTTGGTGTGTTTGAGAAAACATGAGGCATTAATACTTGTTCCCTATGTGGAACAACCTTTCTTCGCATGCCGGACATATACGCGGGCATTGACCCAAAAGCAAGTTCATGTGTCAACCGCGTATGACCAATTCTAAGTCGGGTTAGGATAATCGGGATCATGAAGTGGAAGAGCTTCTCGGACGATCTAGTCCACTGACACTGCCACCTTTTCTTCATTGCTCTTGCTTTCGCCTCCCGTTTTTCTTTTATTGTCACTGATAATAACGTGACCAAAATTTTTTGCAGTGTTTTTCCATGCATTAAATATTACATAGGAACCATAAAATTGTATCAAATAAATGAATAAAAATCACCTTTTTTAAAGTTAAATACACGATAAGACAGTTACAGTTATGCAAGGGGTGCTTACAACGGTTTATTAAAAAGTTTAAAATTAGACATTGAATTTTTATGGAATCTTCACTGTTAATTTTTTTCAAAGCACGGAAATATTAAATGTTGAAATACATACCCTTCTTGAGGATTTTTTCTGTGTCGTTGGATCTGAATCTATAGCGTTTGTTGAACCCTGAGGCGCTTTTCTGAAGTAAAGGCGATATTCGTCAATAGGTGAATAACTGGTGACTGTCCATGAAATATTGTAGCTGTCTCTCGATTTTCCGACAGCAGGGCTTCGAAAATATGCAGTGTGGGGTTTGCCTGTTAAACATAAAAAAAACAGTAATTGTATAAAAATATCGATTAAACGGTTTTATCATTCAGCACCTAGAATATTTTTGTAATGTGCTATTTCTATTATTGGACAAATTTAAAATAGTTAATTGTAAATACCAAAAATAAAACTTTTATTTACAAAAAAGTCATTTGTGTAAACAATAAAATAACGCAATAGTGGTGGGGAAAAAGGTCAATAATAAATAAATAGACGACTATAATTTTATTTTTGTATTGTTTAAAATACGTTGGTGTAGGTAAATTTCTGAATGTGTTTTACTGTTAGCATAACCAATCTGACTCTACACTGCCTGTTTATTTTACAGTTTGCCGCCCCAAAAATCTATTTTTTCTGGACAACGCGTTTTTCGTTTACAGTGTTAGATGTATCGGCCACTTTTTTTTACTAACTAATACTTTGGTTCACGGTATAGTCGGTATTAATTCAATTGTTACATCGTAAGCTTCGACTTATTTTAAGGTCATCATCAGAACTGAATATAATAAGAGTGTCTACAAATTGACGCAATGAGGTTTTTGATAAATGGTTTCACATTTTTTGGAAGATGGACTCAATTGCGAAGGTTTCATTTTTGGAAAAAATATCCGAAAAGTTTTAGGCAGCTGACAGCCAAAGTTGCCGCCTAAAGCTTCTGTGGGTAAAACTATCTTTTCAAAAAGTAAATTGACATACTCACCCCTGAGAGTATACAAAAATTTTCAATGTAGCGGCGTTGAATCCCAGAAATTCCGGTCTTTTGTAGATTTTCTGTTTGTTTTCATGAATTCATAAAATTGTAAATACGTTCTGCCAATTCGCAAAAAGACTCTTAGAAATCCAGAACCTGTTAGTTAAAATTATTACTTAGGCCTGTACCCCATTCCGTCGGCGCATAAATTCAATTGTAGGGAATGACCTCACGCTACGAACTTTACGGAAGGCATATTAATCATTGTTGGGAAATAACAGCAGTAAAGTAGGAGACCATGCTACATTAGCTACGCGATCACGTAACCCTTCTCTCTGATTTAATGTAAATAGCTCAAATTAGAGGCTAGAAAATGCGTTATCGTTCTGTAATCGTGTCAACCGCTTAGTTGGGTTCTAATTGCTACAAAACGGTTACACATAACATCTGCTACAGACGATTAAAAATATCAATTGTTTTAACTATTAAAGAAATATTTTTATTTAATATTATAACAAATGAAAAAAAAGGAGGGAAAATTCAAAAGGTAGGTTAAGATGGGAAGTTGGTGTCCGAGTGGATAGAAATCATAATAGCTAAAGTGGAAGGGCAGCTGCATATTTAGCAAAAGGTCGTGGGTTCGAATCCCGCTCGTGACACTAACTTTTTCATTTCAACCAATACCTTAGATAAAGATTAATTAATTGAAAGAAGTTATTTGGTCGATCGGACCACGAAATGTAATGGATCATAACATATATTGCGATTAAAATTGGTTTTCAAAATGGTTTACTGTAGGATAACATGGTTTGATCAACCAGAGAAACTAGAGGTTATGACATAGTAAAATAAATCGAATAATTAACTTTTAGTGTAGAAAATTTGTTTTTAAATTTGAAATTTAAAATTAAATATATGATTTGATTGAAAATCCTTTTAAGTTAATTTAAAAAAATCTCAATAGTACCTAAAACTTGTCTAAAGGTCCGGAACGTTGTTGCTAAGTTTTATAGGGGGCGTGGGACTTTAACCCTCTAGTTCTTAGCAACACCGTACATGATAGGTAGAATAGGTGGTTTAAGAGTTTAACATCTTTAATCTCCTTATATATTTAAGTTCATTGTCAGAGAGTTCATTTTGGAGAGAATGTTATTTTGCTAGTGAGAATTGAAAATTTAGAACGGTTTGCAAAGCGACCGATTACGTATTAATTATCTTTTCATTGATTAAGTTTATCAGTAAACACCAGACTTCAATAACAGCCAATTGAAAATAAATTGTTAAATTAACAAATGGCATAAAGCCGATTTATTCTGTTTAATGCAGTTTCAATTTAAGAAAAGAAAAATACGGCAGTAAAATCTGAAAATAATTCAATCTATGGAGATTCAGATGACACGGTGCAACCCCAAAAAATTATGTATATATTTTTGTGAAAAATAATTTTTATTTTTTAATTCAGAAAGCTCTATATAAAATTTTACATGGAAATTATACTCGGTAATTATCATCTCATGTGTTGTTTCTTATTTACATTTTGGCCTTATTCAAGCATAAAATTTGGATTAATGTATATAAGTTTTGTAATCATTTTTATTTGTTAAAAGAATCATTATGAATGATAAAAATTGAATTTTATTCGATTCAATACAATCTTATTGAAGATTTTTTCTATATTTTCGTCAATATCTATTCTTTCCAATTGGGTCAAGGTAAATCTGCAATATTCAATACAGAGGGAGGTATGGAGTTTCTCCCAAAAGGAAGCATCGTACATTAAAGAACGAGACAACATTTAAGTATCTAGGAAAAAGAGATAACCGTTTAACAAATTTTGCATGAAAAACGTACGATAGGTAAACAGTATAGACAGAACATGAAGACGCAAATATTCCTTCAAATCCTTCTGGGGCAAAGTTTAATAATTTAATTCCAATATCACCAGTCCAGGTTCGAGAAAAATAGAATTCTTAAAATAGAAATCTTATTGATAAATGAAATGCACCGACACACCACCAAGAAGAATAAATAAAGGCTACAATACGATCTATTACAACAAAAGTACCGTTTCAACGGACAGAAGAAAAAAAACAATAATTAAAATTTATGACTGAAGAAATGCCTATTAGCCTATAAAATAAATAAGTGGAACGTCTTGATCGCATTGCTGTTACAGCCTGCGGGCATCTTTGGTTCAATGTCAACCCTGAAGATGCTTACTGCTGCACGAAATTTTGTGTGTGTGTGTGTGTGTGTGTGTGTATGGTGATTAGTGACCGTTAATCGATAATAATTAGGGTACTCTCAACACGACACGCAAGAATGGCACAATTACACAGAAGACAAATACTTTGAGCCCTGAAGATGAACTCAATAAAGATCGAAACGTTGGCACGATAAAGAAAATGTTTTTCTGAAACCTACATCACACCAGACCACATCTCACGATTTCTGAATAATTAGTAATTTTTTGTGTTGTTTTCAATTCCATTGCTTGACATGATTATGATTTCTATCATCATAGCATTCATAAAAGACGTATAAACCCCACAATGACATGATACCATAAAGACGTATATATAAAAAACACCTAGAAAAAATAGGAGGAATATTCCATGATCTATTGTTGTTATAAACCACAATCGATCGGGCTGTAGGATAAGAAAAGAACAGATTTACATTTGGCCTAACATTAACTACAATCTTATGTTGAATGCGTTTTGGTCCAGTTTAAAAATTCCCATAATGACCTAGGAATGTATAACATTACTTAAAACAAGGGTGAAAAAAAATTACGACAAGTACGTTTACAGCCGAATTCCTATTTCACGTTGTTAAAAAATATAATTTTCTAATATGTTAATATTACAAGTTGACGTTGATCGACCTACGTAGTTTAAACTGATGTTGTATTGGATCTTCTTGAGGTCATTTTAAATGTAATCCTGTAAAATGACCTCAAGAAGATCCAATGCAACATCATGTTAATATTACATTTGTTAAAATTGAAAATTGTTTATTTTTTAATGCAACAAATCTTTTCTACTTTTGAGATTGCGTTGGCCGAAATCATTTGGGTGTCTGGTTATTTATCACGTAAAGACCCTGGGTTCAAATCCCGGCGTTGTCCTCGAAATTTTCTTCGATAATTTGAATGTAACTCAAATGTCTACAAATTCAAAACTTGAAAAAGAGGTAAAAAAGGTACTGATATTATATTGTATGTCTGGAATTATTTGACTACTTTGATAAAGTTGAACTTTTGTATATGTGCGATTTTTATTGAACTTTCTAGAAAAAAAATTACGAGCAAAAATTAATATAAATTACTTCAATGCTTGTATGAATTGTATTTTCTTTCTTGTTATTATATACGACAAGGGTTTAAGGCCGGATTGCATAGCACGTTTTACCAAACTCGGGAACTTTGCCAAGGAGATGATCATGATTGAACCGTATATTTTCGAGATGTAAATGATTAGTCATTCATTCTTCTTATCCTCAAAAACCATCTTGTCCTTCCGTTAAAAACAAAACAAAAATTAACAACAATTTTTGTTTTTCTTGAAAATAACGCAAAATTTACATGAACACACGACAAATAACACAAATATAACCTTTGCATATGGGGTTGTATTTGCACCCTAGATTTGTTTGAAAAGTTGACACTGTCGAAGGGGCGCAGTTGACACAAACTTTCAGAGGTGGACAAAACCCCGGACAAGATTAATTCCATTCAACGCACAAAGGGCGAGGTTAAGAAATATTCTCAGAGCGCCAACTGCACCTGCTCTCCCTGTTACAACTTAGGGTTGAAAAACAGCCCAAACAGACGTTACGCCAAGAGCAATTCCTCTCTACCTACGTAAAGTAACAAATGCAACAAAATATGTCATAAATAATTTTGATGAAACGGTACTTTTTTTCAAGTATACGCTTTTAGCGTACTGATTCTGATTACTTCCTTCATTCGTGTCAATAACAATTTTGGACATACAATTCTGACAAGTTTTATTTCTAAGGATAGATAGATAAATCATATTGCATTTTAGCAATAGCTATTAAAGGGGGAGTAAAATGCAAAATAAATATGTGCGTGTACTTAAAGATATCTTCCAACTTAAATTTTTGGTTAGCGGTAGCCGAGTAGTCAGCGTGACCTCTCGAGTTGTAGCCAGATGTCTTGGGTTCGATTCCCACCGTCGCCCCCATATTTCACGCTAACCTTTCCCCTAACTACATAACTGACAGGCAAAAAATTCCGTCTAATTGATTTTTTTTCATTTACTCGATAAA